ATATGAGCAGATGGATAATGGTCTGTAATTCTTGAAATAGTCTTTCCCCACTTTGCGAATAGATTGGCTTCTGAGAAGTTTCTCTCTTCCACTGTTTAACACCAGCTAATGGAAATATTTAGAAAGAATCCATATTATTTTTAGAAAAGCAAAACCACTCAATTTATCCTACTCACTCCAACTACCAAAGTGTTAAATATTTTCTGTGCAATGGTGACATTCCCTGCTGTTGACGTGGCAAAGAAAGGCTACTTTGGGCAGATTTTGTACATCTGCTACATCAGGAAAAACACCTGCTGAAAATTTTCAAGAATTTCTCATCACATAAATCTCTAAAATGATTCAGCATATCAGTTGTATGATATTTTAAGTATTGTACAGCTATTTTTTGTAGTTTGCCTTTTCATGCAAAGATACAATCCATTTAGTGCACTGCAAAGACAACTTAACCTGCCATTCAGTTATTAAAGTGCCAGAAGGAGATAAATATTTTGGGAAATGAAACATTATTTTTCTTCCCTCTATTATCTGAAATGGTAAAAGTAAGGCAGAAAAGTATTAGAAGCAAAACGTTTAGAGAAACGTCTCCTTTGCGCAATAAATCCAGGCAGGCAAATTTTAAAAGGTGGGAAAACAGTTACTAACTCTGCTAATATCTTTGGTACATTTCCAGAAAAAGCTGTTTGCTCTGTAATTTAAATATTTTGGATGTCACTGCCTAGAATACATTAGTGCCGAGCTCATACAAAGCAGTTTATATGACATTTTTCTTGAGAAAACAAGTAGCTGTCAAAAGTTGTCCATTTTAAACTTAACAGTTTTCAGCATGTGCCTGCCTCTCACTTCATTTACTGGGTTCCTTCTCTACTACAATATTCTGTATTTGCACTCCAGTTTTCCTGTTACCAGATAAAGCTGTGTACTGCCTCAGAGCAGCCAACATTTTCTAGGCTGTCTGTGGCCAAATCACTTATCGGAACTTTCAACATTAGAAAGTATCTTAGATTTATTATAATCAACTCCTTTTTCTTCCTACAAGTGCTCTGTTGCTTTCTTGGAGTATACTTTCTGTGCAACAGAGCACACAGATGCTTGTGTGGGGAAAATCTGCATTTCTCTTGTCCTGGTAAAGGGGCTTGAAACCCTTCTCTAGGATTCAGGTCATCCTTTTTACAGACATTATTTTTAAGGGTGGTGTTTTGGTTTTGTGGTGTTTTTTTTTTTTTTTTTTTAAATGGGCTTTGGTATTTTTAATATAAATATTTATGTATTTATTTTTAGAGGAATTAGATTTTAGTTGGAAAGGAAGGGCAATGGAGGAACAGTGTTCTACTTCTTCAGGTTTCTGAATTCCTTTCTTACCCATCCGTACTCGAGGCCACTGATGGAAAGCTAGAGGGTGCCACCGCGTGGCTAGACGCTCTCTTGGCTGGCAAACTCTATAGCTTGGTACTGCAAAAAAATGCAGGGTTAAGTTTGAATCGTTAGGCCCTGAACACATCAAGATAACGCAGGCTTAACTTCTCTGAGGAAGACAAAGTTGCAAAACTGACAACGTGAGAAAGAAGAAATTCCTACTCTATTAAAAAAAAAAAAAAAGCAACAAAGGCACTAATAAATAGCCAATGACTGGGAATCCCCTGTGCCAATTCTTACTCTGGAGACTCTATTTTATGCAGAGGTGCTTAAATGGAAGCCTTTCAGAGTAGGGGAGATGCAGCCCAGCCTTCCTTCACCCTGAAGTGAATTCCTTAGCCAGGAGAGGACAGAGCTGCACTCCCTTTTATATGCACCCAGAAAGCATGCAGAGCTTGGTATATCTTCTTATCTATAAAGGAAAGATGGAGACAAGGACAAGGCCCCAGCCTACTGAGCAGGATACTCTGTATTTTCCTCTTCAGAAAAATCACCTTTCCAATAATTAAGTATTTGGTAGCATGATAGCTACCATTCTCTTTGTCATCCCATTTTAGAAATGGAGAGGTGACTCTTGGCAACACATGTCATCGCTGGGTGAGAAACCACCACAAGCATCTGGCTGTATATCTGACAGGGTTCTAGGTCTGCAGCTGCTCACAGACACCAGTTAATGCCTTTTTGGAAGCAGAACCTTGTAACTTCAAATCAAGCAGAAACACCTACAGTGTGTCAGTGCCTGCAGAGCTTTCAACAGCTCAGTGGGGCTTTTTTAGCTCATTAAGAGTATAAAACTTTTGCTACTGACTAACTATAACTAGTTCTGGGTAGCAGGCCTCTGATTCTGCATCTGCTTCCTATGTCTTTTTTTCATTTATCATTCAAACATCAGATCCCTTCCTGTCCTTTCTAACAAACAGACCCTGCAGAAGAATGCTTTTTATACCCTATCTAGGAGGCATCAGGACTCCATGTTTCTGCTTTTCTGCTTCATTGAACTAGGCGTCTCCTGAAGGGAATATGAATTCTACCACTTCTCAAAGGAAACAAAACTTAACATTAAAATTCTTTAGCCCAGATTCAGTTCCTTCCAGAATGTTTGAATTCCAACTTCACTGTCCAAGTGCATGTGCAATCACAAAATCATAAAATGGTTCTTTTCCTGGAGAAAAAGCTGTATTTATAGGTCTAACAGCTTTTAAAAACCTAAATTGCCATTTATACATCTCAAAGGAATGCAACTCTTTGAAAACCCATGCCTATGACTGGCTTTAATCACAAAGTAGGAAAACACAAATCCTGTGTTGTCAGAGCAAAGAGAGATTTCAGGTACTCCTTTGTGCACCAGATACATTTTTGCATGCTGTTCAGCTGACTTGAAGGGAATGCCCAAGAAATTCAGTATTCTATACACCAACCAAGCACAATTTATAAAGTGTGAATTAATAACTAAATCCTGGATTGCCAAAAAAAAGCGCAAAAATTCTGTGCAATCAGAGCAATAACACCAAGTAGCAATGGAAGAAAGAAAATAAGTCTTGTCAGCAGGATTTTATTGCAGATTATGAAGTGCAACAAAGTGACTGCCATCAACTTCCCCAGCTCTTCTGAGATCATACAGGACTTCTGTTGAGTTTTCAGTTCAAGACAAGGAAAAGGATAAGGGATAATTATTTTTCCATGCTTAGTGGGACAACATGACACTAGTCTGAATCCAAGTCTTCAAGGTAAGTGTTCCTAAGACACTCAAACAGTGAAGCTTTCAACTGTTATGCTTAGTTCCAGTCTGAGTAAAAAAAAATAAAAATAAAAAATGTGCAGAATTGCTTTAAGCAGTACACATATTTCTTCAATCAAGATCTCAGAGGCCTGATTCACTACCTAATGTAAATCTTTATTTTTGAAAGCAAAGTGCTGAGTTACATTGAATGATGCTTCCATATTTACTAGTAAGACGCTGTCATGTTCATTATTTTTAGCCATCTAATCCTCAGCATGAAACTGAAAATGCAGGATCACTGAAGTTCTCTTTAAAGTATCAAAAGACAAAAAAGAATGTTGACCATGGAAGGAGCCTTGTAGAAATAAATACAATATTGTAAGCTCAAAGGTATAGAGCTGAAGTCCCACTTCACTTTCTGGACCTTTAAGGCAAGTGCAGGGCTGCAGGGAGTTACCTTGTCTACCTAAAGAGTCAAATCTCTTTGTGGCAATTAACAGGTCACAATTATCATGCTAGTGGCAACTATGCATTATATAGACTGGCTCTTACAGCACTCATGGAGGAGGAAGATGCACTTCCCACCTCCCTGGGGTGAGTCCTAAATGTCAGTCTATCTAGATTATATAAGTAACCTCTCTCCCTATAGGGAAGAAGTCAGAAAACGAAGAATTCTCAAAGTTAAGAAGATTACAAAAGTCACATACCTGTGTGTATATCATATTATAGATACATATTATATGTCTACAATATATGTATGAAGAATGCTCAAAGTGCACTTCAAATGACAGATTTTAGGAAAAGATTATTAGGCAAAGAACCAAAGCAATGTGAATACTTAGCTACACAGACCAGAAGAAGAAAAGTTGGCTTTTTTCATCTTTCCCCAGGTGTGACAGTATAAACAAATTAAATACAATATGTAGCCAACAACCCCTAGCTGGTTCTTAAGACTGTGTGCAAAGACATTTCCTTATTTTCATTCTTTGTAATGTTTCTTAGAAATAAACTAGTGGTTTGTGTATGTTATTAGAGAATGAAAAGGCATAATTGCAAAATGTATCTGAATACTTCATCACCAGATTATCACACTGACATTCCTTCTCAAAATATACAGAATAACCTGTCATTTCTGCTATGAAAATGTTTTGAGGCAAAAATATTTATAACTATAAAAATTAACAATCAAAAATATTTGCAACTAAAGTGGAGTAGTACATTTTTCTGAAAATTACACAAGACTACAATTTACATATTACTGGAGACTTTAGTTCTGAAAACTAGTTATTACAACATGCAAGTGTTTTCAGGATTTAGAAGATCTTAACTAGTGCCTGTAAGTACAGTAGTAGATTAATAGGAAATGAGGTGATACCTGGGGGATTGGATCACACCTATTACAAATCCCCTACCTAACATGCTTGTGCACATATTTTTATGATGTGACAAAAGTACAACAAATCCAGGTCATACAAGAATGAGGTGATGCAAAGAAAGCCACAATTTGTATGGAGAGTTTTTTTCTCTGGTAACACTTTATTAAATATTTGTATGCATTGTATTTATGCATCTATGCATTGATCATTTTCCAGTATCCAGCTAGGTAGAAACAGGGAAAGAAAAACTAGTTTAAAAAGACTGTTGGATTTGGGGTTTAGTTTACAGGCTGATCCTTAAAAGTATAAGACAATGAAATGTAGTTCACTATCATAAAGCTGGTAATTTAGTCTGGGATGCTAAGCCCTGGTTTGCAGAACATGCATGAGGCACTGAATGCATTGTGCCCTCCTGCAAAGCCAGTGCAGTATTTCTCTAGGTAGAGGAACTACTTCTGTAGTAGTTCCACTGAATTTTCCAGAGATGCTTATGAACTCTTGTAACATTGATCAGGAGCTAGATTTATTCTCCTAACATTCAGCTCAGTTGCAAAGGTTCTTGCCTTTTGGTAGAAGAAGAGAGACATTTCTCGATCCACAAGGAAATTATGGTAGATGACTGCAAGTCTTGTGTAAATCTTCAGCTGAGCTTTTTTATTGCCCAGATCCATGGCAGCAGCAAGTGCCAAATGATAGTAGCCTGCTGCATCAAAGGGATCCTGAAATGAAACACAAAGATAGTACCCTTTTATTTTATGGATAGTTTAAGAGGACATTGAGGCTCAATTTTTTAGGTATCAAACAAGAATAATAGAGATTCCAGACTTCAGTACATTTTCCCAATTTATTAGATTCTAAATGCAAAAAAATTAAAATGTGGTAAAACCTGACATTATGAAACATTACTCAAAACAACAACTGTCTGCAGCAGGTTTTTTTTAGTATTTCTTACCTTAAGGTCATAGAATATTATGTCTCCTAAGATCAAGTACACCTTGACATAATACAGTGTTTCCTCCTCAAACTCTAGAGGAGAGGAGCAGAGGGACAAGGCCTTTAAATAAAAGTGTTCAGCTAGTTCACAGTGACCCAAATGATGGTGGATGGCAGCCAGGCGATGGTAAGCTATTCGTTCATTTAGCTGGTTTCCTAATAAGATAGTGTATGAGTCAGGATAAAGCCAAAGACAAAGTAGTCAAATTGTCTCAAAGCAGAAGGCATTTATGTATTTGCTAATCTCTTCTTGACTAAAACTAATTTTGCTCAATAGATGCATGGCAAAAACGTCCTTTAAGAAAAATTCCATAGAATTCCCAAATTTCCCAGTGAAAGATTTTACAGTTTCTGGAATTTTCTTAAAGTTTCTTAAAAAACCTTACATTCATATCTCTCATTTATAGATATACACATCCAACACATACTTACAAAGAATTCAAATAAATTATTTTGAAAGTATAGTAGCTAATGGGACTAAAGACTCCCTTGCCCATCCCAGTACCTACTTTACATCAAAAGTTATATCAAAAAGATGATTCGGATTTACTAAAAGGGCCTGTCCATGCACAGAGAGAGGTGAAGAGGTACTTAATCAGTCTAATAGCTCTCAAATGTGAACAAATCATTTTGGAAATGAGCTCTATGGGTTTTGACTATTTTCTGAGGTCAGTTAACCAGCAAGGCTATGAACAAATCTGAAAGAAATGTATGATACTCAAAACCTACTTGGAACAATATAATTAATTTGTATTACAGATTAGCTGATGAACACTGTTTGGATTTGGAGTCCTAGGTTTAATTCTCTGCTCTACCAAAGGTTTTGGAGTTAAGAGACAGCAATAAAGTTGTTCATTCTTGAATGGAAGCAAAAATAGCAATTGTAGTATCATTATAAAATCCTGGCAATGATTCTAACTGAATTCCAAGGAAGAAAGCTTTTTAGAACTCTGCCCTTTTAGAGATACCAGTAATATTAAGGTGTAATTGAAATTGTCTTACCTAAACTTACACTGAGCATAAGAGATGCTCGTGCATATTCCAGACTTTCCTCATAAGCCTTCAGAGTCACCAGCAATTCCACCAATTTATTGCATAGTCTGAGCTCAGTGGGTTTGTTGCCAGTCTTAACAGCAAGTGGAAGAGCCCTGTCCTGAAATGCATAAGTACAGCTTAGGTACTGCTTAACCCCAAGATGTGCACTGACAGGCTTCCATTTAAGTAATTTTGGGCAATGTCTGGTTTTATTTTGCTCTTTGCATATGGCATATCTTACATCCAGAAGAGTTACAACAGGTGAAAACTGTTAACACCATGACAAAGTAATCAGCTGCCATAGGTTATAACCTCTTTGCTGAGAGAATCAGCATTTGGTTCAGCGGAGGAAGGTACACAACTATCCATGCAGTAGAAAAACTGCACAAACCCTGTAGAAAGTCACTGCCTTCTCCTTTTCCCAAGTACCATTGAAAAATATGTCTCCAGCAGCTTCAAACAATTCCATTCCAAAGTTTGGATCACCTGTGTAAAGAGCAGCATCCTGAGCAACCTATAAAGAAAACAAGGAATGAGGGAAAG